GCTTCAAATTGACCAACTTTTTTCAAAATCATCTACATGTTCTCAGAAGTTCAAATCTGACTTTAAATTTTTAGATAGATTTCACCTTCAATGACCTACTCAGGGTCAAAAAGGTCTTTTTTCATCTTGCTTCAAATTGACCAGTTTATTTTTTCAAAATCATCTACAAGTTCTCAGAAATTCAAGTCTGACTTAAGATTGAACTCATAATATTGTGAGCAACTAGGTAGTGGCATTTTGTCATTTTAATGCCTTGTCTCAAAAACTGCTATAGATATCATACAAAATTTCAGGTTAAAGTAATAAAAACTAGCTATAGATTGGCGAAATTGTTCAATTGAAGACTCCAGATTCAGACTTTTTAATCAAAAACGATTCTAATATCTGACATTGATGAGAAAATGAGAAAGAAAAAATGTATATACAGTGTATTCTTCTCTTTACAACATCTGTTTGCTAATTTGATGGTGGCAGTAGGGATTTTTTTCGAGATTTCAAAAGGTCTTGGCTCCTGAATCGAATGTCAATTTCAGATTTGGAATCCTGATTAAATTTCCTATAACATTCATATCAATCATGAAAGATTTGGAACACTTTGAAAATCACACATCTTTGGGAGTCAAATTTCTTAAAATTGGTAGAATTTTTATCTAGACATAGAATTAGGGAATTGTTGAAAATACATAAATCTTAATTTATCGCAAAAATATTAAAAGATAAAAAGGAAAATTGAAAAGGAGTAGTATCAATATGGAGAACTTTTTGAACACACGTTTCTCTTAAACCAGTCATAAAAAAATCTAAAAATTTAACACATCGTCAATTTAATGGTCATCTTTTGCATGGTAACAATATAATTTGAAAAAATATATATATTCTTTCATATATATCAAACACTTGTTTGGTATCATGTTTCCAGAGTGAAATGAAACATCTTTCTGAACCTCATTGGAACAAAACGACATAAACACAACATGTTTAGGTCTCTCAATATTGTAATTGTAAAAAGGAAATTTTGGTTGATTTTAAAAAAGTATCTTGTTAATGAAATAAAACGTTTATCTTGATTTTTATCTATTTTGGGGGATTTTGTTTTAATTTTTTGAATACTTTTTTAAAATCAACCAAAAATTCCTTTGTATAACTATAATATTGAGAGGTCTAAAAACATGTATATGCTATTTTGTTCCAACAAGGTTCGGAAAGACATTTTATTTCATTCTCAAGAATTGGTAGAAAGGAGCAAAAACAATTGCACTAAAAAACAAAAAATGTTTAAGTCCCCATCTAAAGTTTAAACCACTTTGGCTTGTATTGTAGTCTTACCCAATGTTATCAAAGTGTGATATGTGAAACTTTTTTTTTAAATTTCAAAAATTGGTTTTTGAAAGACTTTTTGTTCCCAAATTTGTGAATTTATTTAAAACTAACTTTTAGAGGTCACACATATCTTTTAATTAGCCAAAACTCATACCAATGCATAGCATTCATCCACCCATGTTTTTTGCCGAAAAAATTAAGAAAATCGGTTCATAAATAAGCGAGAAATGAACTTATCAGTGCATGAAAATGGTTCCGAGAAAAATGCATTTAAAGTGTGCGCCAAAGTTTAAAACTGCGCAGGCGCACCGCTCTCGCTAAACTATATAAAGAGATTACCGGGTACACGATTCAGAGGTAAGCCAGGAAGGCGAACGATCTTCGTCTCGTGATGATTTCCCATATAATAGTAACCAGGGAAGTTTCACCATTGAAATTGAAAATTACTATTAGATATACTTTGTAGATGTTATTTATGAAGCTATTTAGTGTTTGCATCAATCAAATGGCTCATTTTGAACATATAAAAAGTATTTGTGTTTTGTTTCCCAGGGAATTGTATTGTATGTAGTACACACATAAATAGTGTACATTATTCAGTACTTGAATAGCCTGGTTTACATAATATTGAAGGGCATGCTGATTACATGCACACGAGTACATGAATGAAGGCCTAATATTGATATACGTAGCTTGCATACCTAAATAAAAAATAAACTCTTCTAATCCCTTAATGTAAACACGGCGGTATACGTAGCCCGATTTATCGGGGACTTTAAAAATTCTAGTTCTCATAGAAACCAATGGTACAATGATATCTAAAACATAATATATTCTCCCTTTTAACCTGGTTAGAAATCAACATTGGTATATTATTGAAGTCTAGCATATTCAGAAAAGATTGACATCGAAAAAAAAAATTCTATTTTTTTCAAAAGGTTTTGTTACCTTTGTGACATCACTAATGTTTCAAAATATTTTTGATATGCTAAAACATTAAAGTGGCCTATTAAATATGGCATTTTATTATTGAAATAGTGTGTCCTTTGATCAATCTTTGCATTGGTGTTAAAAAGATAATCTTTTTTGAAATGCATTAAGAAATATTATTTTCATGATTAAAAAATTTCAACTTTTTTGAAAAATGGCGGGAAATTTGAATATTTGAGAAATGAAATGCTCGCAAATTTTCTTTCAAAAATCTCGAGAATAACTTTTTAATTGTTGTCAATCAGTCAACATTACATAAAATACCGTGTTTTTTACAGAATGTTTTTAATGATTGGTTTAAGAGAAAAACATTGTTGAATTAATTCTCCATATCGATATCAATCCTTTGTGAAAATTAAAAAATTGACTTAAATTTTGACCTTCGACCTTGATAAAAATTTAATTTAATTTCCGAGTAGGTCAGTCACATACCATAACTGACCATATAAATAGATTTTCCCAAAGTCTAACGGTTATAGAGAAATGTGCTGAGATAAGATTATCTTGAAGTTGAAATTGAACTAGTTCAGCTTCAGACTCCAGACTCCAGATTTTTTAATTGACAGACAGACAAACAAACGGACCAAAAGACAGACAGGACAAGCGTATAGGACAGGATAGAGAGGTATTTCTCAATAAAGGATATCATCAGTTTAGATATTTAGTTTTTCATAGTTATGACAAATGTAATCATGTTATGATACAAGATGTTAATAAAGTTTTATTATACATCATCTAGATTTTTTAATTTCAAAATGGCGTAGAATCTAGTGTTGTCGCGATTAATCGATACATCGCGTTATACATCGCCAAAGCTGGTTCTGGCGATGCATCGATGTCTGAAACAAAACATCGATGTTTTAAAAAAATTTCAATTCGCTAAAAATCGCCCTTTCTTATCTTATTTTGACACAAATTGCTTACCTATTTTCATGTCTTATTTCATTTTCAAATGTTTTCTGATATTCTTTCGCTTTAAAACTGTTTTAGCTAGTCGAAATGAACCATTAATCTAAAAAAATTACTTTCATTTCATTTCACCGTTACTATGTTCCCGGATGTACAGGGTGACCCAAAAAAAATGCAACCCTCCATTTCTCGAATATTTTTCTTAAATGGAGGTTAATTGCTCTGAAATTTGGCACACAAGGACTTCATTCAATGTGGGATTCTCTGGTAAAGTTTCAATAATCATAGTCTTATATTGATAGAGTTATGGTCGTTCCAAAATATGCTCCAAATGTCGTCCATTTCCAATGTTAGGTTTTCGGATGAGTCACATTCCCTTCTTTCTGAACATGTAAACTCAAGAAATAATGTGTTCTGGGATCACAAATTCGTGATAAAGTGCTTCACAGGCCCCTACATTCTGTTAAATGCACAGCTTGGGCTGCCAATTTCCAAACATGAAATCAACAGCCCCTTTTGGTTTGAGGTTGATAATGGCAACACTGTTACTGTTAACATACAGCGCAATATTGGCGTTCCCAGGCAGTTTTAGAGTGACACAGAGGCTTCAATAGACAAGAACAGTGGTTCTAGAAGGATGGAGCTACTCCTCACACTTCTAATGATAGCATAGCCTGGCTCACTAGTCATTTTTATGAGAAGATTGTCTCTCCTAGGACGGAGGACCCATGGTCATCCCACAGTCTTGATCTCAATGCCTCTGACTTCTATATACGGGGTTATTTAAAGGTTAATGTGTATGAAAATAACCCTACTGCAATTGCAGAACTCCAATAAGCAATGGCTGCAAACATTTGAGCCATACCCATGGGGAAGAATGCATACGTGTTATGAACAGTTTTCCTTGAACATTGCAAGTTTGTTTTCAGCGAAATTGACGACATCTGGAGCATATTTTGAAACAACCATAACTCTATCAATATAATACTATGATTATTAAAACTTTGCCAAAGGATCCCACATAGAATGAAGTCCTTGTGTGCCAAATCTCAGAGCAATTTACCTCCATTTTAGAAAAATATTGACGAAATGGAGGGTTGCATTTTTTTTGGGTCACCCTGTACCAGCGTACTCTTATTAATTTCTTCTGTTCGATATTTTAGTGCATTAGCGTTCGGTATTTGAGTGCACTTTTCTCGAACTTTTTCTCGATGTACATCGCGATGTGCATCGATGTTTACTACTGAAAATTGCCGATGCATCGATGTACGATTATGGCACATCGCGACAACACTAGTAGAATCTGAACCAGAAGTGATATTTTAATTCCTGAGAAAATTTCCTATTATTTTGACACCTCAAACATGGAATTTTGAGAACTTTTTTGTTGACCTTCTTTCTGGACACCGTATCTCAAAACTCGTTTTTGATACCTTATGACAGCAAAAAACGAAGACTATAAGCCTATTCTTGTCTATCAGTACACAAAATTTCAAAGACAAATATGTAAGTATATTGCGGTAATTGTGAAAACAAAGAAAATGACCTAGGTTTTGACCTTTACCAAAGATCTTCAAAGTTTTGACTTGACTTATGATTTTTGTCCTCTTAATCATTTTAACCTATTTTAAACTAAAAGAAAACAATTTCGAAATTTGACGATTTTGACCTTAAAAGGTCATAGATCCCGAACCGGAAGTTGGATTTCAATTCTGATTTCTGCAGATTGTAGATTTAAGCAAGATATTAAAAACTTAAGAAACAATGATTGTTTATTTCAGGCACCAGTGCCAGATGCCTATCGGGGCATTTTTCGTGACATGGACCACGTAGGGGAAGATTTGGCTGCCCTCTATGCATCTGAGGTGGACAAACTGATAGCAGGTATTCATAAGAAAGGGCGTGATGTGTGTGCCTACATTGCAGAGTCCATGCAAAGCTGTGGGGGACAGGTTATACCACCCAAAGGCTACTTTCAAAATGTATACAAGTAAGTTTTAAGACAGTGATTAAAATAAGCTGAAGTAATGCATCAACAGAAGAATTTAATTTTTGAGGCAAATTTTTTAGAAATTACTACTCGTTATAGTATTACAAATAATATAAAAAGGCCTTAATTACTTAAAATATATTTTGTCCTTTTAGTTCAGTACGTAAGGCAGGAGGTGTATGCATAGCAGATGAAGTCCAAGTAGGCTTTGGCAGAGTAGGAAAACATATGTGGTCTTTCCAGTGTGATGGTAAATATACAGTATAAAACCTGTGTGAGTGAAACACCCATAGTTCAGTTCAAAGGGCGTTCCACTAAGGAGTTGTCACTCATTGGGCCATCTGTTTGTGTTCAACTTACAAATGTGTTTCAACTTCCACAAAGGAGTCCCAATTATAGAGCAGTTCCACTTGACAAGTTTGACTGTATTGTATTTCTCTAGACTTACACAACCAACAAAAAAGTTAGATAGGAATGTAGGGAAGCCCTCCATATTAACAAGTCAAAGTGCAGTGTGTACTAGTGAAAGAAAAGAATTAGTAAATGCCCAATTATGACTGAGGGGCTTTATCATGAATTATTATTATTTATACGGAGTCTCATAAATAAGGTTTTTGGACAGCTTTTATCTGTTCCCTAATATGCAGTCTAAAGTCATAGAGAATTTCAGCAAACTGACATACTGATGATGACATAACTGTATGTATATCTTAAAGGTGTTGTACCAGACATTGTGACAATGGGAAAACCTATGGGTAATGGGCACCCTGTGGCATGTGTGGCGACAACACAGGCAATAGCAGACAGTTTCTCTGACCAGGGTATGGAGTACTTCAACACAGTAAGTTGATAATCTTGTCATCTACATTCGAAGAAAACTGCTTGTCTGATTTTTAGCTCACATGGAGAGCTATTACAATCTGTCCGTCCATCTGTCTGTCTGTCAACAATTGGCCCGGTTTAAAACCTCTGTCAATAGGATTCCCGTTTTAAGTAATTTTTGTTCAACATCAATATAGAAAACCCCCCTATGACACCTGGTTCAAAAGCTTGCCTATTTTCAAAATGGCCTCCATTTTTATCTCACGAAATTCACTTTTTGACCATTTGCTTTAAAACATGTGTCGATAGGATTCCCATTTTAGGTTATTTTTGTTCAACATCAATATGTAAGACTCTCGTTTGACTCCTCGTTCAAAAGAACGCCTATTTTCAAAATGGCCGCCTTTTTGTCTTGCGAAATTCACTTTTGGACCATTTGCTAGCTTTATAAATAATTTCAGGTGGCCCGCATTGTAAAACCCCTTGTCACTGTAAAGAGTAGTTGTATGCCATAATTTTGTTACAAAAAACTGCAAAATTCCCATTTGGTAGCTTTATAAATAATTTCAGGTGTCCTGCATTGTAAAATGCCATGTCACTGTAAAGAGTAGTTGTATGCAATAATTTTGTTTCAAAAAATCTGCAAAAAATTATATCCATTTTTTTTAATTTTCAGCCATTTTAGTTAACATTGATTTGTCCATTTGTCTCTCTGTCAGTCAACAATAGAAGCAAGTTTTAAAACCTCGGTCAATAAGATTCCTGTATTAAATTATTTTGGTTCCTCTTTAATACAGAAGTCCCTCCAGTGAGTCCAGGTTCAAAAGCTTGCCTATTTTCAAAGTGGCTGTCAATTCAGTTTTACATTCATTCACATGTTAGAGGGTATCAAGTTCTCCAAGTGGATTTACTTGTTTTTGGCAGTTTGCTTTCATTTATTTTTCAGTGTGGAGGTAACCCAGTATCTGGGGCCATTGCTCTTGCAGTCCTAGAGGCCATTGACAATGACCACTTGCTGCAGAATGCAACACAAATTGGTGATTACGTCATGGAGAAATGCCGGGAGCTCCAAAATAAACACTACATCATTGGTGATATAAGGTACAAAAAATACTATTATTTCAATCTATTTGATTTGAACAGATTATATAAGCGCTTGGACTGATCATTAAGAAAGTTATATTTTTATGTTGAGAATTATCAAAAATGATTGGTCAATGAAGTGATTTACATAGTGTTCACAAGTAATTCAGAGGGTAAACTCAATTAGTGGCATCATTTCTACATGTATATGTGTTAAATAAATGATTTGAATTATAGGGGACGAGGGATGTTTCTAGGAATAGACTTGGTAAAGGACAGAATAACCAGAGAACCTGATACACTTGGCACTAAATATGTTGTCAATAGGTAGGCACTTGGTACTAAATATATTGCTAATAGGAAAACAATTAATACTAAATATATAAACTATAGGAATGCAAGTACAACACATTTTTGAGAGATAGATTCGATTCTGAACTCTTCTCTAATAATCTGAAAAGAATATCAAAACAAAATGGTAAGAGCGTTTCTAAAATTGTGTCCTGAAGCGACGGAGTGTTTCAAGGAAAACAAGCGATTTCTCGAGAACAAGTAATGGATTTGGACTGGGATTTTAGGAAATGAGAATAAACGAGTTTGTGATCTACTACTTTGACAGAAAGATTGATGTTTTGATATAAATACTAGTTTAATTCGTAATTTGTGGTCAATTTGTCAACTTCAGATTCGTTGGATCTACACTACGGAGCTTTGATCAAGCAAATAACAGTTTACCACCAGAAGTTGAATAAATAAGATCTTTGCTCAGGGTATTGTTCATCGAATGGTACATAATATGTCACCATAATGTATGATATTTAAAAGAAATGAGTGAAACAATACTTCATTCATTAGATGCCATTTTATTTCGTTCCACTCAGACCACATCGTTTCCACCTGAATGAAACATTCCATCGTGCATGTTAGAGCGTTTGGGTTGGACTCCGCGCAATATATTGTTGCTTAATATATACCCTAATTTGTAGAAATGCGCTTTACACAGCATATAAATGCTAATAGGAAAATAACTTGGCACTAGAAATATAGCCAAGAATAGAGCACTGGGCACAAAATAATGATGTGAAGCCAATAGGATGAAGCAATCATGGTTTGATTCTATCACACATAAAATATCAGATTGCCATTATGCTGTATTCTGTTGCAGGTTACGTGAGGAACGGGTGTTGCTACGTTCTGATGGTCCCTTTAACAACATTCTCAAATTCAAGCCTCCAATGTGCTTCAACATGAAGGATGCCGACAGAATGATTGCGACCTTGGACAAAATATTCACAGAAATCGAGGATATTTCTACAGTTCATAAATACAATGCAGACATTGAAGAGCGAGAGAAATACCATTTCCACCCAACATCCCAAATTTCTGTCAAGCCCACTTCTAAGTCAAAGCTGTAATTGTACAGAAAAATGTACATTTTAGTAAATTAGGGGGTGCAGGGACTTGAAGCAAGACTAACATTTCTGATTTTGTAGCCAACAGAAATTTCTGCTGAATGTTTCTGACTTGATAGCCAACAATAGTGACTGAACATTTTCTAACTTTATAGCCAACAGTAGTCACTGTACATTTCTGACTTTATAGTCAACAGTTGTCTCTGAATATTTCTGACTTGATAGCCAACACTAGTCACTGAACATTTCAGACTTGATAGCCAACAGTAGTCCTTGCTGAACATTTCTGACTTTATAGCCAACAGTAGTCACTGAACATTTCAGACTTTATAGCCAACATTTGTCTTTGAATATTTATGCTTTGAAAGCCAACAATAGTCACTGAACATTTTAGACTTTATAGCCAACATTTGTCTTTGAATATTTCTGACTTGATAGCCAACAGTAGTCCCTGAACATATTCTTACTTTGTATTCAATGTTGACCCCAAAATTAGTAAAGGTTTAAATGCATATAGGCTCTTTTACAATATTCCATTGATCTGAGCAAGGTTGTATAAGGATATAACATGTTTTAGAAATTTCTGGCTTACTTAATTGATGATTTGCGATCACCAGATGGATTCTATCTTGAAGTGATGTCACAATTAGGCCACACTGCTATAACTTTTTGATTTTGAGAGATTATCTTCTGTGATTCGTTCTTTATTGAAATATTTTTCACGAAAGCGTTCAATTTGACTAGATCAACATTTATGCTAAGCACATACCAAGTCTAAGATCTTACTGACACGATTTAGATAGTGGTTAAGCGCCCCCCCGATTTTGAAAAAATGGGGGGCGCTTATAGGCATCGATGTTCAGTATGAATTTAACCCAAAATTCGCACATATATAGATATACTCATGATCTAGTCAAATCGGCATACCTGGTATTTAACCTCTTGAATCCCAGGCTCTAAAATCAGTTGAAACCAGAGATTTTTTCATTTTTGCCACCTTTTGACATTATACTACATGCCTATACAACTTCAGATGCTCAACTTAGTAAAAGTAGATGGCAGAGATCATATCTACACATTTTAAAACAATTTTTGTGTAAATTGGATGAAAATTGTTCAAATAAGATCAATTTTAGTGAAAAATTTTGTGACGGATTTTCTCGTCACCCTGGGTATCAAGGTAATTTCTGGGGTGACGAGAAATCTCGTCACTCCAGGTAGTCAAGAGGTTAATTTTCGTCCCATGGTTTTCATAAAAGAAACGATAATATTTTTAGCTCAAAACTGCCACATGTCCGCCATTTCGTGATTTCATCATGTCTAATATCATTTCTATATGACGTCACACCAATAAAACGAAATACATGACAACAGTATCCATAAACGAAATTCCTGAATTCTGATCGCAAAAGGTCAATTAGAATAAACTTAATCATATTCCATGCCAAATGTCAATCTAAATGCTTCAAGTATATAATTAAATTACTGTACTTTGCAGATGATGTAAGAAGCTTTTATATTATGGATGCAATGAGCATATAAAAATCTTAAAAGATATCTTATTCAATAATATTGAAATATTATTATTCATTACTAACATCATTTATGTGATTATGATGCTATTATTTACTTATACATTTAGACAACTGAATAATAGAAACACCTTATAGGTAGTATCATTCACTAGTCGTGGATGAACTCCATTTTCAAAATATCAACATTTTATGAGAACTTATTCTGTTCAGTATTTATCTGCACTGTATTAACCTGTATGAGGTATGAAATTATTTTGATTGTAATGTTTCACATTTTAAAAGTATGAATATTATCTGATGATCAATTTATTTCATAATTCATCAAATAGTATATTGGTGAAACAATGTGTCAGGGGTATAGTATGTAAAAACATAATCTACAAAGGTGCAGTGATTTGAATGATTTGTTAAATTGATTTGTTGAAACCTTAAATTACACGAGGATTTGTATCAAATCTAGAAAATAATGTGACTTGTATCAAGTTGTATAAAAAATTATGATTTGTTAAATTGATTGTAATAACTCATGATTTGGATCAAATCAAGAATTTTGTGTTTAGAATCAACATGTGCATTGTATGTAGAATATACATGCTCATTGTGTAGAATCAACATGTGCATTGTATGTAGAATATATATGCTCATTGTGTAGAATCAACACGTGCATTGTATGTAGAATATATATGCTCATTGTGTAGAATCAACACGTGCATTGTATGTAGAATATATATGCTCATTGTGTAGAATCAACACGTGCATTGTATGTAGAATATATATGCTCATTGTGTAGAATCAACACGTGCATTGTATGTAGAATATACATGCTCATTGTGTAGAATCAACACATGCATTGTATGTAGAATATATATGCTCATTGTGTAGAATCAACACGTGTATTGTATGTAGAATATATATGCTCATTGTGTAGAATCAACACGTGCATTGTATGTAGAATATATATGCTCATTGTGTAGAATCAACACGTGCATTGTATGTAGAATATATATGCTCATTGTGTAGAATCAACACGTGCATTGTATGTAGAATATACATGCTCATTGTGTAGAATCAACATGTGCATTGTATGTAGAATATATATGCTCATTGTGTAGAATCAACACGTGCATTGTATGTAGAATATATATGCTCATTGTGTAGAATCAACATGTGCATTGTATGTAGAATATACATGCTCATTGTGTAGAATCAACACGTGCATTGTATGTAGAATATATATGCTCATTGTGTAGAATCAACACGTGCATTGTATGTAGAATATATATGCTCATTGTGTAGAATCAGCATGTGCAGGTTCATTTTTTTTAGAAATGTCATCAAAGGCTGTCCTCTCACATTTCCTCATATTCTACCAGTTTCCGACAGCTCAATCTCAGTAGCAATTTTGAGAAATGACAGCCATTGCTGTGATGGGGTTTGCTTCACCTTGGCATTGCTGCTATCTAGTATATATTGATAAGGAACCCTACATACAAAAGTACATAAGTAGTGTTTATAAACATGAACATGAAAACTATGTACATGTACTTATATATATCCTTTTTTATTATATGTATTTTCACAATTCACTAAGCTTACATTTACACAGTTTTGACCAAGTATTACAACTATGATAATAAAAAGGTTATGAATTGAGTCTAACTAGCAAGTAGCAAGCAAAATCAGAAGGCAGAGCTATGAATGATAACTAACCATCTGTACCATAGTACAGCAAGCTTCAGTACTTAAAAGATGTGCCTACATAGGCACAGGGTAACCCAAAAACAGAACCAACAAATCAATTTTGCTGAATAAATGGTTCTGCATTTTATTTGGTTCACTCAGTAGGTATTGTATTTTCACTATGACATCTTGTATTGTTATTCCTTTAAATATAGCTATTTAGTTGTAATTTACAGATGTTAATTACAGAATATTGCTTTTCATAAGGTATAATACTTTTTTTGGTGCCACTTTGTACAAGATATGATGTACATAAATAATTGCTGAATAAAAACTGATACTTGTGATAATTGATTATGTTTTCTTCCTCAAACCAGTCAATTGCACACAGAATATGAAAGTCATTTGTGCAATTTGCTGGAATTACTTAGATTAAATGACACACCCCATTTTCTTACACTTCATAGCACCAGAAGATTATGAAGTGATTCCTAGTATTATCGGCTTGATATTGTAAATACATGTTATACGATTTGACAGAAAATGGTCCTTTTCTTTTCATAGTAACATTGACCATACCATGCAGATGTACAGTACCTCTAGTATCACTACGTCTCAACATTTTGTTTGAACTAATTCTCAAACGTTCAAGAAAGCTTATTAGAATTTATTGAAATATAAATGTCTTATCTTTTAGTTGGGTCAGTATGAGGGTTTCTAATCCATGTAGACTTAAATTCAGGTCTCCTAGACTTCCACCAATGTGAACATCAGAACCTCGCCAACTACGTTCCATGCACTCAAACATGAATTCTTAGTCTTGCACTAACATTTCCTCGGTCCCGACCATATTTCTCCACTCTGTGCGCGAGTTGAGAAATCTGTTCGGGAGTGTGGAAATGGTGGTGCGCGACTGGGATCTCAATGAGAGAAAAAAATGGGACTGAAAAAAGTGTTCAGATTGGGAGGTGTTCGGATAAGCCAGGTGTTCAGATATACATGTTTTACTGTATGCCTAAAACTAGTCTGTTCTAGAATATCATACAAAGAAACATCCATGAAAGCTTAAAATTAAATATATGTAAGACTTCCAGACAAAATGTTGCAACAGAAAATCCAAAATGGCCACTTTGAATCAAGCATTCAATTCTAGATTTCACTTTATATATTAGCTTTGTGTCAGACATTTATCTTTCAAAGACTTACAAAACATATATACATTTTATGTAATATACATTTACTACAAAAATACAACTATACTAAAATTGAGCAATACAATACAATGTACAGTGTATAAGCACGCCTTTGACAACTGGCCAATATGGCAATCAAAACTCAAAGTGTAATTATCATGATAGTTAATACACCCCTTCTTATGAGCACTCAAAGAGCTACAGATTTGTGGCCTATTTAAAAACATATATGTATACACATATTGATTTAATGGACTCTGCATATTTCTAGTTAAGAATGAACAAGGTAGACTTACAAAATTTCCAGCATTTAAATCATTTGATTAATAAATAAGAAAACTGATTAAAACACTGAACAAATTACTATTGGGGTCTTAACCTATTGGATATACATTTCTGTGTTTCAAGTCCATCCGAGGCCAATGTGGTTATTTTTAACCAGTGTCTTGTAAGAATTTAGACTGAAGTCATAGCCATATTTGGTTTATCTGTCTGTCTCTAACATATATCTATACCAGTGTGTCAACTTCTGCACTGTTCTTACAAAATAACTTCATATTTCTTGACAGCACAATACACAGTAAAGTGATACTTTTTAAGCATTGGACAAATGGCACTCTCAATCTTTGCCTTTTCATTGATGATGTCTACAGTTTAAACATGTTCCAAATGATGCATACTGAATTACAACAGGAATGTCACTTTGTTTTGAGATTTTAAGGCAGTAACATAAAAATGTGCCTTTAAATGATAGGCAACATTGCACATGTCTTCAATCTTTGTCAATCTTCAATCAACGTCATCATATCTGGCACGTTTAGCCTCACTTTCATCAGAGTCAGAATCTGATTCAATTCCTGAAATCATATCTAATGATATTTTCCCATCATCAATAGATTTTGAGGTGTCTTTTCCCAAAAGGCCATCTTCTATTTCTTTCAATAGTTTGTCAAATTTAGTGACTAGTTGTTTGGCATTGTCAGTGGTGAAGCAGAGTGGAGGCACAAGTGTCATAACATTCTTGTCAGGCCCATCATTTGCCACTAGCATTCTAGCATCATTCTTCAATCTGCAATCATATAACACTCAGTTATACACAAAAGGTCAACAGTAGAAGCAGTAATGTTATAATCACATTGCACACAATTTATTCCTTACTTGTATGATAGCATTTCTGCCACTTCTTTTGAAGGTTTGCGACTCTCTTTGTCCGTGACAATCTCAACACCCACAACCATCCCGAGTCCCCTGCAATAAAACAGCTACAATCATTCAGATGTGTCAAGATTTTCATATATACATGGCAGTGTTACAGTGTTACAAATGGCAGTGTTACAGTTAGTTAGAGTGTTTCTCCTCCATGTAATACAATCCTTGAAAATTACAGGGGCATCACATTTTTGTATTTTTGTTTAGGAAATGTATTTACAGCAGTATCAAATAAATAAATGTTTTCATCCAATGGTTGCAGGGATATAGATCCAATATCACCTGAAGATAATTTTGATATTTGAATCAAGATATATTAAATCCTGAAACCATTGAATTTCACTACTTAAAAAAGGTTATTTGAATATTATTAACTGACATCACCCATGGTGTTGTAAAATAGCAAGATTATTAACTGACATCACCCACGGTGTTGTGTTATAGCAAGATTATTAACTGACATCACCCACGGTGTTGTAAAATAGCAAGATTATTAACTGACATCACCCATGGTGTTGTAAAATAGCAAGATTATTACCTAAATCACCCACTATGTTGTATAATAGCAAGATTATTAACTGATATAACCCACTGTGTTGTATAATAGCAAGATTATTAACTGACATCACCCACAGTGTTGTAAAATAGCAAGATTATTACCTAAATCACCCACTATGTTGTATAATAGCAAGATTATTAACTGATATAACCCACTGTGTTGTATAATAGCAAGATTATTAACTGACATCACCAACTGTGTTGTATAATAGCAAGCTTATTAACTGACATCACCCACAGTGTTGTATAATAGCAAGATTATTACCTAAATCACCCATTATGTTGTATAATAGCAAGATTATTAACTGACATCACCCACTGCGTTGTATAATAGCAAGATTATTAACTGATATCACCCACAGTGTTGTATAATAGCAAGATTATTACCTATTACCTAAATCATCCGCTATGTTGTATAATAGCAAGATTATTAACTGACATCACCCACAGTGTTGTATAATAGCAAGATTATTACCTAAATCACCCACTATGTTGTATAATAGCAAGATTATTAACTGACATCACCCACAGTGTTGTATAATAGCAAGATTATTACCTGATAGAAAACATGGAAAATTTCAATCTTGAGAGGAAATTGGCTTCGAAAAAATGCTCAAAAAGGGGGTCTTTGGCCAACACATAGGTATTAAGAGGTCTATTAGAGTGAACCCCTTGGGAGTTGAACTTTGCCAGTTTGACTGGTCAACCTCTTAACTTTTATAATACTTTTTAGGGTAGTATTCTCATTCAAAGATATTGGTCAGTAATATAGATGTTCACTAATGAAAGGTAGCCTGAAATTACGTCTGAATACTTGTGTTTGTTTATGACAGTTTTGAAAGACAGGAAAACTGAAATCTTGGAGAGGAAAACTCCTACTGGCGGGGACAGACGTCAATGAATTGAACTAATTTGTAATGGATTGTTTTGAAATAAAACAACTACAGGTGAGACAAATGTCACTTGGTATTGATAAAGAAAGAGATTAGTGTGTGTAACTCATTATTTTGTACAGTAAACAAGTCCTCCACGTGTTATAAGTGTACACACACATTGCAAAACTCTGCGAGTGACGTCATTACTGCCTTTATTGACAGATTGCCCTGCCCATTTATTTATTTTTTGTCGACTTTATGGAAAAGTGTATAATAGCAAAATTGTTAACTGATATCAGCCACGGTGTTGTATAATAGCAAGATAATTAACTGACATCAGCAACGGTGTTGTATAATAGCAAGATTATTAACTGACACCACCCATGGTGTTGTAAAATAGCAAGATTATTACTGACATCACCCACGGTGTTGTATATTAGCAAGATTATTAACTGAAATCAGCCATGGTGTAGTATAATAGCAAGATAATTAACTGACATCAACCATGGTGTTGTATATTAGCAAGATTATTAACTGAAATCAGCCATGGTGTTGTATAATAGCAAGATTATTAACTGACATCAGCCACTGTGTTGTATAATACCAAAATCATTACCTGACATCACCCATGGTGGTGTGAAGTGGTAAGATAGCTTTGAAGCCCTCTAGGAGACAGCGTCCCACTGACTTGGCAGCACTCATCAACTTCTCATTGTGAATGATGTCCAGCACAGAAAGTCCAATGGCACAGGCTACAGGATTACCCCCATACTGAAAAACATTGCTTATTTAAATGATTATCTCTAATATTTCATCATGAGAACTTAAAAAAACATTACATCTCAATCTTATTCTTTTGTTTGATCCTGCATTATCACATACTTGGTTTTCATAAAGTAAAAGAGTGTATTATGTTGAGAAAAATAGTTTCTAGAAATACAAATAATAATAATGTATATGTATGAGTTTTGAGTTATCTGATCAAATATGGAAGTTTTGATCAAGGATTCCAAAGAGAATTCTTTTTGAGTTTTTTCTATTTTTCTGATACTGAGGGTTATGTACAGAATAGGTGCATAAATGCACCCATATGCCTTTATTTACATATTTGAGACTTCTTAAAGGGTAACGCCTATTGTTAAGCAAATGTGGATTTTCCTGGTAACTTCTCTGAGAGAAGCAGGTAGTGAAGACTGAAGAGAATGAGGTTTAAAATGGCAGCCATTTTGAAATTCTGTAGCCATCTTGAATTTGAGCAGAGCTTCTTTGTCTTTGAACCAAATCCATCATCCACTGGTATTTGAGTTATCAAAGTTTACATATTTTTACGAAATGGCCGCCATTTTAAAATTAAGTGGCCATCTTGAAAACCTCTTTTGTAGCAAAGCTCCTTTGTCCCAAGCCATCAGCATATAAAATTTGAACCAAATCCATCAACCAGTATTTAAGTTATCAAAGGTTACATTTTTTACGAAGAATGGCAGCCATTTTGAATCGAGCGGCCATATTGAAAATTCCTTCTCGAACAGAGGGCCTATAATAAAGCATAAGCTTATAAAATTTAAATCAATTCTGTCAAAAAGTACTTGAGTTATTAACCAGACGAACGAACAAAGGGTGGATAACTAGACAAGGTATTATTGGATGCACATTCAAATTTGTCAGAACTCTGATAGTCCAACTCATCAGACAGATTCAAATTTGTCAGAACTCTGATAGTCCAACTCATCAGAGCCAGGGTAGCCCTGAATATGAAATGAATAGTAATTGAATCAGAGCATAATTAATATCCAACATTTTTAGCCTCTTGGTTAATAAGCCATTATACTTCATGCTACACTTTAATATTACCGAATTTCTTTTGGTCTGAACAAGCTTACTTTTTAAACACATGTGGGAAAATTAAATTGCAACTGGTCCATAGTTTTTTCTTTAACCAGCACATCTAAAATCCTATGACACACTCTAGCATTGTTTAGCTTACTGTGCTTATGAAGTCTCCAAGGCAGTCTGCTATCTGATGGGAAGTCACCACTGCAGCCATGGGATGTCCATTACCCATAGGTTTCCCACATGTCACTATGTCAGGTACCACATCTACATTGAGAAATAATCAACTAGAAACACAGCAACCCCAGCAAGAAGCAAATCTCACAAAACAAAATACATTTCACCAAATCACTCCTGACATTTTGAACTTTAACCCCCATAGGCATATGGTGTACAAAATATGAACAAAATCAGGCAAGCAGTATTTGAGTTATCAACCAGATGGAAGGATGTATTATGTTTGGACAGACAGAGGCTTTCCCTATAAACCTCCGAACTTTGTTTGATGGGATAATAACAATGCAGTAGAAGTCTATGTTTGACAAAAATGGATCATTAAATAGTTTTTCAGCTTTTAGATTTTGTGTCCATTTTATACCCACGGGCTGTAATTTGGACACTTTTGTTCTGTACAATTTGCAGGTGAACAATTCAACCAAGGTTTTAATGGTGTCAAGAATTTCCATATCGTTTCCTGTTGAAGAAAACAACTTTAAGAATTGATTGTTGTGAATTCATTTATTATTCTGAGATTCTATGGACTGGTTTTTGCATAAAATTGTTGCTAATAGATAATAGAAGTTTTCTATTCATACATTCCTAACACATGGATGACAAAATATGCACAAAATGACTCTGTCTTTCCTGACAAATGGCCTGAAAATCAACATTCGAAGGTTATGTTTTATCCATTTCAATGACAACCACCAAACCGTGTGACATGAAATTTTTAGCACATATTCAGTTACCTTATAAATGTGTCTTAGTAATTTAAATAGTATACTGAGTATCCTTGGAATACTAGCCCAATTTCATAGGAGGGGTCCAAATTATAGCATGTGGGGGTAAAAATGACCACAAATGTAAAAGCTATATTCTGTCCATATAAATATGTAAAATCATACTTGGAACATGAAATATTATGTCCCATAAAATCCTCCCAAGCGCACGCCCAAACCCTCATTCTGACTGGACTTAAGTCATGCTTTTTCATGACTGCCTCATTGGTCAAAATGTGTCATGCTGATCAGAAGCTTTGTTAGAAGGAAAATCAAAATGACATCATTAATAATTATTTTAATTGTTATTATTATTGACTATTATTTTTTATCCTATAATTGCAGTAAAACCATAATAATTCTATCATTTGAATTGTTGCCTGGATGTATGGAGAGACAGATGTACAGAAAGATAGATGGAGGTATTTGCTTTAGGAGAGATCATTTCTTTTGCAGACAAGTTAACGAAAGCAGAGTAAATGTTCTTCTCACCAAAATGCTGGAAAGCCCACCAATGTTCACCAACTCTGCCAAGGCCTGTTTGGATCTCATCAGCAATGCACACTCCACCTGCACCACGTACAATGCTACAAAAATAACCATAAAGATATCATTTATATAACAAATATACTTGTTTTTTTGCATTAAATCATAGGTTGGCCATTTCACAAAAATATCTAAAGCTAATATTATCATTATGTGCGGCATTACGCATCATTATCTCAAGCTAATATTATCATGTGGCAAATTATACATCATTATCTCAAGTTAATATTATGTGGCTAATATTACTCATCATTACCTCAAGCTAATATTATCATGTGGCAAATTATACATCATTATCTCAAGTTAATATTATGTGGCTAATATTATTCATCATTATCTCAAGCTAATATTATCATGTGGCAAATTCATCATCTTAAATTAATGCGGTTGAACATGAAACACAACAAAACACCTGACATAGGTTGGTTATATAATTTATTGAGTAACACTAACTAAAAGCAATAAATCATTTTGATCATAGAGATAATATCTTTTACAATTGTTCAATTATAATTATGTCTTATTGTATTGCTGCTGACATTACAAAAATATTAGTTCACTTACTTCAGTTTTTAAAGAAAGCGCTTACTTGATTTTTAAGTTACAATTGTCAAGAGGGCATGGGAAGGTTGGTAAACAATAAGAGAAATATCTTAGACCTCTGTGATCTGTGATGGCTGAGACTAAAGTGAAATGCACACATGTATTGCATACAGATTACAGATGGGGAAAACAACCTGCTTTTTCTCCATAGAGATACATGTTAGTTGGCTTACATGGTGAGACAAATATTCCATAAGTTAAAAAAGATATTGCTACATTTATAGCGAGCATTGATTTTTGGATCTGTCAAAAGCATGTGGGATGTGATTATCTCATCAATTAACTGAGACCACCAAAAAATTAATTCAATTGTTTGGTTCAAAATTGTAATCTGCCCGTGGTCCATTGCGCTTGAACTAGCCTAACCAAACATTAACTGTCAATACATGTACACATGTGCTATACATCTATAAAATAGCAAACTAGAAAACAGCAACTCGACGGAGTAGCAAATTCCACCGAAAAAACTTATTTTGATAAATAGCGTCCATCTTGAATATTTCTTCTTGAACAGAGCTCCTTTGCTCCTTTGTACAGCATATAAAATTTGAACCAAATCTGTCCACTGGTATTTGAGTTATCAATGATTTTTTCCCAAAAATGGTGGCCATTTTGAAATTCAGCTGCCATCTTGAAATTTCTTCTTGGCAGAGCCCCTTTGTCTCTAAGTAGATGAACATTTAATTTGAACCAAATCTGTCAACTGGTATTTGGGTTATTACATTTTTAACGACAAATGGTGGCCATTTTAAATGTTCTTTCTCAAACAGAGCTACTGTGTCCCTAGGCATCAGCATATAAAATGTGAACCAAATCCATTCACTGGTATTTGAGTTATCAAAGATTATGTTTTTTTAGAAAATGGCAGCCATTTTACAATTTATCAGCTTCAGCAAAACTCCTTTATTCCTAGGCATCTGCATATAACATTTGAACTAAATCCATGGACTAGTTATCAAAGATTACATTTTTCTCGAGCAGAGATCCTACACCCATAAGGCATAAGCCTGTAAATTTTGAATCAAATCTGTCAACTGGTATTTGAGATATCATCTGGACAGACAGACGAATGAACGGATGTATGGCCAGATGAATGGATGGCTCATCTATATCCCCCTCGAATGGAGGATAACTAGAGTTTAAAATATTCCTTTCCTCATTACACAAACAAAAGAAATGTCAGTAGTATTGTGCTCAGACGAACTTCAGTAATCGGAAACATATGCGACAATATGATAAACACCCACACCATCTTTAAATAATTTTCAAATGAAAATATACATATAATCTCAAGCTAATATTATCATGTGGCTTATTACTCATAATTATCGTAAGCTAGAGATTTGTAACTAGAAAACAGCAACTCCACAGAGTAGCAAATCCCACCGAACAAAACATGTTTTGATAAAAGTGGCCATCTTGAAAATTTCTTCTTGAAGAGCTCCCTCGTCCCAAGCCCCTCGTCCTCGCCCAGTATTTGAGTTATCAAAGATTGTATTTTTTACAAAAAATGGCTGCCATTTTGAAATTTGGCTGTCATCTTGAAAACTTCTACATAAGCAGAGCATATAAAGTTTGAACCAAATCAGTCGAATTTGGGTTATCAAAGATTCTATTTTTTATGACAAATGGTGGCCATTTTGATAAATAGTGGCAATCTTGAAACTTTCATCTCGAACAGAGCTCCTTTACTCTAGGCATCAGCATATAAAATTTGAACCAAATATGTCAACTGGTATTTGAGTTATCAAAGATTACCTCCTTTTCCCAAAAAATGGCAGCCATTTTTAAAATCAACTGCCATTTTGAAAATTCTTTCTTGAGCAGAGCTCCTGTGTGGCTAGGTATATAAAGTTTGAACCAAATCCATCCACTGGTACTTGAGTTATCAAAGATTATGTTATTTTACGAACGAAAGGCGGCAATTTTGAAATTTTAAAGCCATCTTGAAAATTCCTTCTCAAGCAAAGCTCATGTGTTCCGAGGCATCAGCATATAAAATTTGAACCAAATCTGTCCACTGCTAATTGAGTTATCAAAGATTGTGCTTTTTATGAAAAATGGTGGCCATTTTGATATTCAGTGGCCATCTTAAAAGCATCTTCTGACCAAAGCTCTTTTGTCCCTAGGCATCAGCATATAAAAGGAGTGGTATCGATATGGTGAACTTTTTCGCCATATGTGCGAAATGAAATGAAACATCTATCCGAACCTCATTGGAACAAAATGACATAAACACAAAGTGTTTAGGTCTCTCAATATTGTAATTGTACAAAGGGAAGTTTGGTTGATTTTAAAAAAGTATCTTGTTAATGAAATAAAAGGTTTATCTTAATTTTTATCTATTTTGGGGGTTTTGTTTTAAGTTTTTGCATACTTTTTGTTAAATCAACCAAAATTGCCTTTGTATAACTATAATATTGAGAGGTCTAAGAAAATGTTGTATATGCTATTTTGTTCCAACAAGGTTCGGAAAGACATTTTATTTCATTCTGAAGAATTGGTAGAAAGGAACGAAAAAAAATGCACTAAAAAACAAAAAATCTTACCAAAAACAGTAATATGAAATATATATAAATAATTTTTGCACTAAATTGTTGCCAATCAGTCAACATTACATAAACGACAGTGTATTTTACAGAATGTTTTCAATAATTGGTTCAACAGAAAACATTGTCGAATTCAGCTCACCATATCGATACCTAATCTTTGAACCGAATCCATCAACTTGTATTTGAGTTATTTTGTATTTTGTATCAAATATTACATTTTTTAGAAAAATGGTGGCAATTTTGAAGTAAGCAGCCATATTGAAAATTCTTCTCAAGCAGAGGTCCTACATCCCTAAGGCAAAGGCCTATCAAATTTGAATGAAATCCATCAACCGGTATTTGAGTTATCGCCTGAACAGACAGAAGGATAAACAGACGAAAGAACGAATGGACAGCTTCTCTATATCCCTCTCAAACTTGGATAGTTATCCAATCTATTGAAGTTATTCTATTTCTATTTTCAAACACTACACTGGACGAAATTACAAGATACGCAAAACAATAAAAGTTCATAAAATCCTGAGAGAGAAGTGTATGGAATGTATACATGGATCTATACAGCAGATGTATATACAGTGCATATGGCAAAAATCAAGTGCTATATACACCTAATATCACAGTGATCATGGTATAATATAGGAATATCCTATGATTTCCTAGCAAACATTAAAAAATCAGAAAAATAAAAATTTTGAAAAAATCAATTGAAAGAATCAATTTAAAATATTTTTTGAAAATATAAAAACCATCTACTATCACTTTTGAAACAAATTAAGAAAAAGCATTCAATGGTTAAGGGTATTTCTGCGAAAATATGATATCTTGATCCACATATCAAATACATCATCATGTGATATTCAATCTATATCCTTGCAACCATGGGATAAATACTAGATTATAGTAGATTAATCCCTCAGGATAAACCCAATCTCCCAAGCCTCCAAATGACAATTATGTCAAAAGCAAAAGCAATTATTTAGAAAAATGATTAGACCCACCAGATGTGTGAAAAGGGATATAATTTGGTTTTCAAAAATATTTCAAGCTTATTTCAAAGCATTGTGTGCACTTATACAATAATACTATAGCGAAACTGGGGAATTTCAAAGTTGGTACCCTAGCAGTACAACAATTAAAATTGTTTGCATTTTCAATACCTGTACACCATCTTAAAATAATTTTTTGGTGGTTTTATAATGCCAGGCTTAGCCAGTAGAGTTTCACTGATAAACGTACCAATCTGAAATCAAACATTAAACTATATGTTTCAATTATTATTCAAATGTAAACCATATATCACAAATCATCAGTGGCGAACAACTCCAGCAGTGTAACACTAAAACACAAGAAAAAATAATTAAGAGAATGGTGAATTTGGAGATGATGAATCAAAAATGATCTCTAATACACTTACCCAACAAGCTCAATAGCCTTTTGAGTTTATTGGCACCAGTCACAAGTGAGACGATGTGATCACGGACAGGACTCATAGACCAATTTTTAAAAAAAATGATAATGACAACAACATCAACGACAGTGATGATGAGTAGAAAATTGTGATCATTGGCACTGATGAAATGTGATACATGGTAAAATGTCTATCATGCAGGATTACCTGTAAATAAGTTTAAAATAATCTATTGGGGGTTTGATGACTCCTGCATTCGTCATGGTCAGCTCAGATATATATCCCGCAATCTAAAATAGTAACAAGATATATGACATAAACAAGATCACACCACCCAGTAGTTATCCAAAAGTTACATAGAACTTGGTACCTCTAACATGTGCAAAAATGGAATGGTCATGACAGGATTAACGGAAACTTCTAAAATGGCTGCCAGAACACAAGATGGCTGCTCAAAAGTTAATGAACTGAAGAACTTGGTACCCTCTAACACAAATCAAATGGTATCTTAAAATACTTCATTATTTAAATCTAAAAATTACTAGCATTATCTGCAATACACATTAAACAGATGTTAATAGCATGTTGCATATTAAAATAAAAATCAGCAACTCCACGGAGTAGCAAATCCCAACGAAGAATACTATATTCTTGAATCCATAAACCGATATGTAATATGAAATGCAATACTATACAAATATTGAATTCTGTGGAGTTGAATATCTGTATACACCTGAATACACCTTCAGAAATATATACAGATATTCAACTCCACAGAATTCAATATTTGTATAATATATACATTGTAATATTTAGCATATTTATCCTTGATTAAATGGCAGATACTAAAAGACATTCATTAGAGAAATATTAGAATTTCCACTGATTAATAAGTAGTGGTGTAACGAGTGACTCGGACTAGAACTCGAATGAGCCAAGAAAATGATCAATCGATTGAAAATTTGAAAATCGTGATCCTGAAATTTCTAAGAAAAATCGCGATTTACCCTCCATATTCACGATTTAAGCAAGAATTGTAGCTGCCTTAGCGTTGTTTCTAATAAATTACGTACTTCAGACTATATTCTGCAGATTGTTTTGTTGATTTAATGGTTAGTTGATGAGAATAAAGTATGAGATTCATATTCAATTTTTTTTATGTTTGTTTATATCCGGTATATCGAATGCGCATGCGCAATGAATTTTGACGGAAGTAGGAATTGAATGGTCATGAAACCAAAAGTCGATGTACGTAGTAACAAAAGCCTTGATTTGCCAGGTTCTAATTTTCTCAATTTTTTTTAAAAATTGTCAAAATCGTCTACTCGATCATCAAATTTATCATTCTACTCGAGTAGAGATTTTGGTGGCAAGTCCCACCACTAGATTTAAGGTAACTGGTCAACTCGTACCCAAGACAAGTTGTACCCAAGACAACTGTCACAACTGGTACCCAAGACAACTCCTACCCATATATTTTGTTTTGAATCAAGCATTGGACTGGGAATGTGAATAGATATACATATTATAATTGTAACATACTGTTCCGAATAGTTTAAAGTTTGAAGAAGACTTTTCGGAAGAAATTGATTTAATTTTGTGACATTTTGAGCTGATTGTCAATTTATATTGACTATTATTTTATATTGGTCACAGATTCAGGATGTTCGAGTGAAGAGACATATGTTTATAATCATTTTTCAAAATATTGTATGTTTATGAGTGTTTGGAATAAGTGTCAGATCTAATGTTTTAATTATATTTATTTATATATATGTTTGACAAAAAAATGTTGAGAACAAGCGTTTCAAGCACTTCTTTTATTTAATAAAAAAATGCTTTACCGATCCATTGAGAAAAAATGTCGTCTAAATTCAAAAAAATATTGAGGCTTATTTGATTCACATTATAATATGAAAGCATTACAAACTCAATTTTTTCCCTAATATGCACCCATAATACTGAAAATAAGCTTGGGTACGAGTTGTCTTGGGTACGAGTTGTCTTGGGTACGAGTTGACTAGGAAGCAGATTTAAGCATTTGGCTGACCATTTAGGAGTTTTAAATGCACAAATCATAAAGGTAATACAATATTTGAGATCTGAGTATGATGTAACCATACTTAGAAGAGATCTTTAAGTAATAGCATTGCAAAATCCGATATAAGATGGCCATTTTGAATTTTACGAGGCCCGAATCAGAAAAACGACAGATATTTGCAGTTTGAGAATAATAAAGCTATACTTAAGATCTCAAAATTAACGAATTTTCTGTTTTCCAAAGCCCCACGGGGTCAGGGTGAACAACACGGATTATAAGTTAATGAGATAGATGTTGTGAATATACTTCCGAAATTTCAAACAATAATATTTATTAATTACGTTTAAAATGATTAAAGTAAGATTTTTACGAAAATTTCCCACCATTTTTAAACCAGCTGCCATCCTGAAAAATTTTTTGTTGGGTAAACTACTCACCAATATACATCTTTCCACCAGATATGAAGGAAATCTGTCCACTAGTTTTTGAATTATCTTCCAGACAGACTGACTGACTGACTGACGAACGTAGGGCTTCACTATATCCCTAATGAATGAAATAGGTGGAATAATAAATTCTCTTGATGCTATCAAAAATACTTGTACTTCACCTGTCTGTTGTTAGCATGAGCATGTGTGATGATCTTTGCAACTTCAGTAGCATACTTCTGACCAGGGTTGCTTGTATCTCTGTGAATACCTCTGTAGACATCAGGCACTGGTGCCTTCAAACACACAACCAATACATTTCATTAGCTTTTAATCTGGTATTGTACAGGGTGTTTCAGAAAAAATGCAACCCACATTCCTGACAATACATATCTTTTTAACCAATGGTGAGATTTTTTTGAATACTAGATTTAGTAAGTTAAGTTGGTTCACTGTTCTTTAAGCTGAGCAAGTTTCATCACTGTGGCATGACCAGTTTGTTGCCCAAATAAATTGCCTGGTTCTTTAAATGATCAGCAAATGGGCTATATACACATCGCGATAGCCGCGCCCCCTTTGTCTTTATCCTTCCTTCTCGCAAACGGCAGATAAGAGGGGCTCTGGCATACCAGAATGCTATCTACATGCAACTTAAATTATCCAAAACAAGATTTTTCATTCTTTTTTTGTTAAAAAGCATTGTTACGGGGGGGAAGTATTATGGTTCATACTACCAATATTATTACTCATTACTATGCATGTCTGAGCAACTATTTAGGCCAAATTTATAACTGATGATGTTCTATTCAAGTATCATTTTGGCATGCATGAAGACTACTTTTAGATACCTTCAGACTTTTATAACATATCTTTGATGGATGTACAAATGTAAATGTATGAACCAAACATGTAAGATAATAAAGGCCCTAACGTATACCCTCTTCCAAGTAATTTAGTCATTTATTGTAATTATAATCTAAATATTTGGAGATGGCCTTCAAGGATCTCCAGGAGCTAAAATTCTTGGGATATTGCTGTACAAGGTAGGTAACTTTTTTTAAACTTATCAATTGTTAATAGCCATGCAATATAAATCATTGAGGCCAATGTTTGATGCATTCAAGGTTATAATCAGTTAAATAACAAGGAATAGGGTGAACAATATCGTACCTAAAACACGGTGTATAACCCAAACGCTCCTACATGCATGACGGAGCGTTTCATTTACGCGGAAACGCTCCGGAGCGAAATAAAATGGCGGCTAATGAAGATTCCACTATGACCGTAGGTATTGTTTCTCTCGTTTCTCTTACATATCATATGTTATGGTGAAATATTATGTACCATTCGATGAACAATACCGTGAGCAAAGATCTTATTTATTCAACTTCTGGTGGTAAACTGTTATTTGCTTGATCAAAGCTCCGTAGTGTAGAGCGAATGAATCTGAAGATGACGATTTGACCACAAATTACGAATTAAACTAGTATTTCTATGAAAACGTTAATCTTTCTGTTAAAGTAGTAGATCACAAACTCGTATATTCTCATTTCCTAAAATCCCAGTCCAAATCCATTACTTGTTCTCGAAAAATCGCTTGTTTTCCTCAAAACGCTCTGTCGATTTAGAACACAATTTTAGAAACGCTCTTACCATTTTGTTTTGATATCATTTTCAGATTATTAGAGAAGAGTTCCGAATTGAACCTATCTCTCAAAAACGTGTTGTACTTGTTAGGCAAATTGAAACATCTGAACCTGGTGGTGCTAAACGTGCAACTAGCTGATTTAAGCCTACATTAGATGATGTCATGCCTACGTGTGTGCTAAATCATAAAAGTATAGAAAAAAAACTAAAATTTATATGTAAATTAATCTTTCTTCTTTTGATGCCAAGGGGTATAATAGATCTTTTCTTTCTCTTCCTGAAAAGGAAAGGCAAGCTATATATTTCCTAAACTGATCTAGACTACCGGAGCGTTTCCAGTTCACTGTGTTAACCAGATCGGAGCGTTTCTTGAATATGAGAATGTCATCATTTTTCAGACTGGATTTTCGGTCATCAAATCACTATTACGATGATGTATGGTGCGTTGAAGCATTGGAATTTGACTAAAATATACGTTGGTTCTCTAATCTTGGCTCAACTAATCACATGCATCGACAAAAGGGGTTTTGACCGGTAGAATGACAAATACGTTTTTGAATTTTGATAACTATACTGCTTCGTACAGCTCTTCCTAATTGCTTCAAACGTCAACAGCCAGCCAAGTACAACATGAATATCACACCCATCGAATGGTATACTCGAAATATGGAACTCGTACCTCTTATTCCCATTATTGGGGAAATCGTCAGACGGCTCATCATTCCCGCCAGCCAGTTTTCCTACTCCGAAGCGTTTCTTTGTTTAATTTCAGTAATGAAACGCTCCGTCGTGCATGTAGGAGCGTTTGGCTTATACACCGTATAAAACATAGCAGTGTGGAATCGTGATGACAAGATTTATGTAAAAACTTCCAAGATGGCCACCAGAATCCAAGATGGCCACCGAAAAGTTAATCACCTTTAGAAGTTAGAACTTTTTACCACGTAACATGTGTGAAAATTCGAAGCAAATCTGTCAAGTGGTTTTCCTGGAATCACGATGACAAGATTTACCGAAAAAACTTCCAAGATGGCTGCCAGAATGCAAGATGGCTGCTGAAAAGTTAATCAGTTCTAGAACTTCTTACCATGTAACATGTTTGAAAATTTAAAGCAAATCCGTTAAGTGATTTTCCTGGAATCGCAATGACAAGATTTATTTAAAAATTCCAAGATGGCCGCCAGAATACAAGATGGCCGCCGAAAAGTTAATGACAAAAAGTGAGGCGCTGCCCGCCCGTCAAGCTGATGACAATATTGCACCTTTTTAGGTATGATAAAAACGCTATGAGCCTCAAAAGTCAACAGGAATTCTCGAAATCGCTGTTCCCTCTTTAAAAGAGGAGACGCGAAAATCTTTCCTTATAAGGTCAAAATATTTCCCATGATGCAGTTCGCGGAGGAACAAATTTATACTTCCTTGTTTTCCCTCATAGGTTTAACAAGGGGATTTTAACACCTATTTTTCAAACGATATATTCGTTTATATTCCTGTACGAGGGTACAGAAAAAATTATTAGAAACGATTGATCTTTTATTAATCTTAATATAACAGCTATTTTTTCATTGTATTGATTCATAGCGTGGTGAAAACGATGATTGAAAAGTGAGAAAATATTCCGGAAGAGAAGGTCACATGATCACTTGACTAGTCGCCATATTGGAAAAAACAATTCCATTCGACTTTCAATACTTTCATGCCAATCTTAACGCACTACAAACTGCATCATCGATGCAACAACGGAATAAAAGTATTCATCATCAAATTACATCATAGAGTTACGTTGAAAACCAACAAATAACTGAGCAGTAGACCAAAGAAGAAGCGTCGCTATTATCTAGGTCACTCTGTTCAGTGGTCCGAAAGCAAATCTATAGTACTCGTTTCCGAATTTTGTTGTTCATTGTACATTCTTTTATTGATTAAACTCGGTATACAGACTATTAAAGCAATGACAAAGAAGAATACTTCCGATGTTGTCATTGTTTTATTTAGCGTGCGGGTGTAAAAACAAAATTGCGTAATTAGTTTGATTTAGAACTTTCGGGTCACGCAAATAGCTACGCGAAATGCATAGTGAGAAAATATAAACCAATCAAATTTTGTCCTTTTTGAGTGCTTTTTCAGTACATATCTGCGAACGTTCTGATTCAAAGAGCGAATCGCGAATGGGAGAATTCAATACTATCAAGTAAAAAAAAAATAATAAGAGTAATATATAAATATTGGAGAAATAAGATTTACATGTACTTGTACATTAAAACCTATGTATCTGAACACCTCTCTAATCTGAACACCTCCAAATTTGAACTTTTTTGCCATAGGCTAACATGTTAAAATGTGTACACTTGCCAATGTAAACACTTTAGCCTTGTCCAAGTGGCATTCAAATTAGACAGGTTTACTGTAGTGTCCTGTGATAGTAAAGAAAGACAGTTAACTTACCACATGAACCCAATCTTCTTTCACAAAATCCTGCATCTTCTTGAAGCGACATGGACTGATATTTATCAAAGATCCTAAGTTGCCATGGTAGGCACTTGAAACAAAAATAACAAGATACATGTACAGAATCAAACCACAGAAGAAGAAAGTTTTAAATATGAAGTTATCTTTGGAAAAAATATGTCCATCAGTTTTCCTGGATTCACAAGGCAATTTACAGAAATACTACTTTGTACTTAAATTGCTTCCAGAAACCAAAGTAAATAAAATCAGACATTACTTATCCACACATATGATGTCCTTTTTCTTGGTATAGGCACGAGCAAGTCTCAAGGCCAAGTCATTTGCCTCTGATCTGAAAACAACAATACAGTCATTTTTTTGACCGAGAGAAAGCCACATGTAGTGAAGGAATGATTAATAAAGTGATGTAGCTACTAAATAAAGGCAAATGCCAAGGTATCGCAAATCCCATCAAACATCTTTGACTTTTACCCATTCAAAAATGTTGCATACTAGTGCTGTCAAATAACTGCACCATGAAAACAGACTTCGCCAATAAAGACGAAATGGCAAAGGTCATCATTCAACTCAAATGCAACTATGCCAGGGAGTCCTTCTTGGTGACCTAAGATGGAGATCATTTGTGATATATACATGTATGTATATGTAATTCATTAACTCCAAATTGAATATCTCATTAATGAATAGATCTAGAGACTTTGCTAAGCTTGGAACTTTGTTAAATTTGATAAAACTAAAATTTGTTCTATTTTTGATGATACGAGGGTTGATCCAAAAGTTCCGAACCATTTGCTCTAAAAATCTTAATATTTTATGAATATTGTTCATATTTTGCCACAACCACCCCATATATAGTAGATTCATTATGTGTAAAAATAAATAATAAATCTGACCAGCAACATAGGTTTCTGGTTACCATAGCAACATGAGAACAGGGAAGGTGGAGCTGGAATAAATTAAACTTTATTCTGAATTTCAGCAATTGACGAGCTATTTCAGATCATTTCAATTCGTGGAGTTTCATACCCATAAAATCTCATACAATAGGTAATTATAGTTTATAAGTTCATTCGCCTTCAAAATAGTCACCACCATGTGCTACACATTTCTTGTAGTGTTTCAACCGGTCCTTCTACGTCCTTTAGCTGAAGCATAAACGCTATTAGTAAATGCCTGGATAAAGTCAGCTTCGTCATTGAAATGGATATCACGCAGTGGTTTCTTGGCCTCGGGAAACATATGAAAGTCACATGGTGCCATATCAGGAGAATATGGCAGATGGGGCTGTGGTTGGGCCTGCAAGCACTCTTGTATTGCCTCTAAACATTGGCTCTGTGGGCTGGGGCATTATCATGGTGAAAGTAAAAATTCCCAAGGAGATCTGGTCGTTTTCTCTCATAGCATCTTTAAGATCTTTCTTCAGCACCTGGTACACATTTCTAAACTGAGTAAGTGTCATACCTAATTGATTGACTCAAAATAGATCAGCATACTAGTACCTCATAAAGTAATCTAGTTTACAACTTTATAAATGAGTGATGAGGTTTTGTAACTGACCTTTGAATAAGCTATATTGACGGTGACTCCAGTTGCCACAGAGTGAACCAGGATAACTGTGTCATACTCTTGCTCCACCTACGCTGTTGTCATGTTGCTATGGTAACCAGACACCTATGTTGCTGGTCAAATTTATTGCTTATTTTTACACAAAATGAAACTAATATATATGGGGTGGTTGTGGTCAAATATGAACAATATTCATAAAGTATTAAGATTTTTAGAGCAAACGGTTCGGAACTTTTGGATCAACCCTCGTATATTTGAAGACAGGGAAATGGACAGACAGATAAATGGATTTAAGAATGGATTAATGGCTTCTCTAGAAAATAAGGCACAGCAGATACGAGTTAAATTAAGGGAGAACTAATGATAAAGGCTCAATGATAAAAAACTATGTAGTTCTAATCATTATTTCCTTTCCATTTGTAATATTAATTAAGAGTAAATCTTAAATACATTTCCATTCTGAATATTTGCTTCACTTTCTTTTTATCATTTGAAGCTAATATTTAAAATGGAAAAAAATTAATGATGATAGACTTACCCAGAATTCACTAAGAAGCAGACATTGAGGGGTTCTGGGAATGTCTCTAGGAGTCGTTTAGCATACATGCCTTGAACATCAGTAAGGAAACCAAAATTTGTTGACAACCGTGCCATCTGCTGCTGACCTGCGTGTACTACCTGTGGGTGACAATGGCCAACTGGAAAAAGACAAGGATCACTTACAAATGGAATCTATAGGGATCTTGAGTACACAATAGTGTAGTTAGTGATCTCGCATTTCTGATCTATAAGTGGTGGTGATTATATGGGTGAAGTTACCCATATAATCTGCAAGTAAGATCAACAATGCATTAGTTGAGCCTTAGGAGTAACATAACAAAATGTTGAGATTTACAAATTTTCGATGTATTCATACATCTTCATCAGCGTGATCAGTTTACCTGATGAAGATGTATGAATACATCGAAAATTTGTAAATCTCAACATTTTGTTTAGTTTTTAACACTTATTAACATATTACGTAGGAGTAACATGATACATGTAATATATTTTGGTTAAAAAAATGGTGACCATTTAAAGGGATTATTGTCTGTTATTACTTATTTGGAATATTTTATTATTAATCATTATTTTTATTATTGAGATTCACCGTGTGCAACGTTGTTGATGCCATCCAAATACTCAGTGCCAGCGTCATCATACATGTACTGCTTGGAAGCTCGCACCATCTTCACTGGTGCTGACTCAAAGTGCAACTTACATGACTTCCTGAAAGAACAGTTTCAACCACTTTTTTAAACAGACAGGAGTTATTTTCAAAGAGGACACACCATTGGTCCGAATCCCAATTGTCCTAATGGCATTCATCTGAATCCCATTGGTCCGAATCCCATTGGTAAACTTAATGATATGAGAATTAACAATTGGCAATATGATCTTTTCTGAGGGACCACAGAACCCTATATGAAGTGATCGCACCAATTTTCAAATGGTAGTGGTTAAGACCAGCCATGACGACTAAAAACCAAAAAGATGAGTACCAAAATTTCTTAAATCGTATTTCTATAGCATACGGTAATAATATCTAATTCTATACTGTTTTAGGAGTGGAAGATACTTAATTATGCATGCCATATGTTTTCAATGTAATCAAACGCATAGTTAAGATAAAACAGTAGTTTAAATACAAAAAATTGAATTCATCGCAAAAAATTGTTATCTAACATTCTCAAAATGTTGATAATTCCTGATCAACAGCGCATAAAAAGGTATATGTAACACGAATATGTTTTACTTCTTCATATATGAGAAACAACATATACATGTATATCCTATGAAAAATACATGTTTCCCCAAGATCAGGATTTCGATGACGAGAAATGGCCATGTAATTTATGATGAGAAATGGCAATGTATATGCACTCAGCTATGCTATATTACTGTTAAGCTGGTCAGAAAACTTTACCACTATTCAAAATTGGTGAAGTCACTACGTATAGGGTGATAGAGAAATAACATGATAGAAAAAATGTGCATAATTCTGCATTTAATTCCGTAAACAAATCAATGCAAATGACTTTTCTCTCTTTATGTACAGATATGTGTAGGGCTGCCCTGTCAACCCCCACGCATTTGTTGGAAAAATTTCTAAGATTGTGTCATGCAGTCTTAAGAAATTTAACAATGTTCTATTGCTTAGAATATTTATTTTAGGTATGTAAAGATGAAAATATATTAGTAAATAATGTTATTTTGAGTAAAATAAATAAGAATACAGAAAAATAATCTATGGATGGGTGATAATAGGTTACCGCTTCATACTTTAGGCCTGATAAACTGCTTTAATACCTTCAACATGAACTCATTCTGAGTCATTCAGAGGCGTAGTGTGGGTATTTTGTGAGAGCACGCCACGAGTGAGCGAAGCGAACGAGTTCGAGGGGGGTTTGGGGGGGTTCTCCCCCAAGAAAATTTTAAAATGAGATTGCATTTGAAGTGTCCTGGGTCGGTTTGAAATACGAAATTCCGACTTAATCTGGACCAATTAAATGTAAATTATTATCATGTAAGTTTATGATGATGGATGACGTAAAATGATAAAGTTAACGCTACTTATTATATCTATTTCAAAATTGCATCAACTCAATTCCGTTCAACCACAAAACAGGTGAAAGTTGGGTAAAATACGAACCTAATCATGTTATCATTCATTTGTGCCGCCATGATGATCTACACAAAAAGTACGAACATCCCAAACTTGTACGCTAACAAACGTATTTCGGAGAGAAAATTTAGATTATTACAACACAATTAAAAAACAACAACACAGGATTAGAACAAATCATTTATTTTGTTTTTCATATATGATTGTTACTGTTACTATTATCTTACTGTTTAAGATCTATCCAGTATTTTTAAAGTGCGGGGCAATTCATTATAAAAAATCATTTTTTTCGTATATGACGCTACACCATTGTCATTTGTACCAATAATAGAGCATACTAAGCAAGTTTAAACTGTTTGATTGTGTCTATATAACGAGTTTTGAACATGTGTAAAGGATTGGTAGTGATATGCTGAACTGAATTCAACAATGTTTTTCTCTTAAACTGATTATTGAAAACATTCTGTAAAAAAACATGATCCTTTATATACTGATTGACAACAATTCAATTTGAAAATGATCTATCTATTGATTATTGTTTTTATGAACAATTTTTTGTTCTTGGAACAAAATGGCATATACAACATTTTCTTTATACCTCTCAATATCTTACTAAGTGTAAGTCTTATACAAAAGAAAGTTTGATTCATTTAAAAAAGGTATCCAAAAACTAAAATAAAAAAAATAGATAAAAATTTAAGTATACCTTTTATTTCATTAACAAAAGACTTTAAATGAAGACATTTTAAATAAACAAAGTTTCCTTTGTATACATGTAATTACAATATTGAGAGACCTAAAAGAATGTTCTCTAAATTTTGTATAATGAGGTTTGGATAGATGTTTCATTTCATTCCAAACATATGGTACCAAGAACAGAAGAAGAGTCAAATGTGTTTCCTAAAACTATATATAGAAAGATTTCAATTTTTCCAGCAAATGCGTGACGATCACACCTAATGTGTGAGGGTTGACTGGGCAGCAGGGTGTCTATAAAATATTTATATATATAAAACACTTTATACAGCATTAATGTATTGTAATTGTAAATAGACTCATTCACACTACTATACCTAACACCTAGAAATGCATAAGATACTTTGTTTGTCTAATTGGATTGTTTAGTATATTTTTGAAAGTACCTTATCAGCATCTAACTTTCAACCGATAAACCATTAATAAGGAACAGACAAATAAAAACAAATATATAATCATTACTAATAAGCCAAATTCGTTGCTCATGAAAGCCAAATGCAAGGTATAGTAGAGTGTCATTATAAACGAGACTTTAACGAGATTTCTGGAAGATGTAGACAATGGTAGACTGTAAATCTAGTAAATCTCGTAAATCTAGTAAATCTAGTAAAATCTTGTAAACTTTTTAGGGACAATTCATTTGATATCAATGTCAGTCTCTATGATGAGTATTGGTGATTATGATTCCTTTTACAGCATTATTATCCCAACGAACGGGAAGCTAACTCGAATACTACGAATCCGATTCTCTCTATATTTGGTGGAAAGATGTACTGTATAATGGTAATACTTTTTTATGGACTTTTCATCAAGAAGGCCTCCGTTTTAAAAATGGCGGGAATTTTTCGTGGAAATCTAAGTTATACATTCTCAACCAAAGTAATAAACATTACTGTTAGCAATTTCAGCAGTATTCTCACAACATACACGTATACCTATTGATATATTATTGAGCCTGACTGCCATGAGCCATGAATGGGGAGGGGGTAGGCATTCTTTTTAATTTTGAGATCATTCTAAAGTATACTCAAATAAAATGGAATTTAAAGTAGATTACAAATATTGTAAAAAAATTCTGATTCGACCCTTGGAAAATTCTTGGAAAAGTGGCCGTCAAGTGTGTTATTTGGCAATAATTTTTTTACCAAAGAATTTTATACCTGGCAAACTCATTTCCACAAAACATGATTGTAAATACCATATTCGTCTGATTAAGCGCACATAGTTCTAATAAGTGCACATTCATACTGGTATACATGTGCATACAGTTTAAGGGGCTGATATGATATGGCTTTAAACTATTAATTACAAGGAATATAAGGAACATATCATCATCAAAACGCAAAATGGAAAGCATTGTAGAAATGCCATACTATACTTTATGTATAGGTAAAGCAAATAGATCAATCAGTAAGTTGTCTCACTCTTCCCCTTACTACAGCATTTGATTGTTTTTATTATTTTTGGAGGTTGGCAAAAATCAATTTTGAAATTGCCATTTATCCATTCCCCTAACATTGGAACTTCTACAAATATTGTCAATTGAACAGCATCGCCAAAAAATAAGCAATAACTAAATTATCTGATAAGCTAAGCATTATAACATTTTGTGAGGTAAAAACAAGCCTGTGTCATTTAGATGGTACGCATTGTCCCCTCAGTCCTTAAATGTGTGGCTTAATTTGTTAATAGAGCATGCTTCTTGGGTGGGTTGTATATGATGATAAAATGGGCCGTACCATTTGATAACCATTTTGTTATCCAGTACTAACATATAGTTGTTAACGTATACATAAAAATATTGGGTGAGACTTGAGATAATGTATGCGGCGCCAGTCAAAATTGAAACTTCTGATTGGGTTCGAAGCCGAGATGCCCGGATATGTCCCAGCAAAAGCCGGAATTCACGTGATTTTTCACGAAGAAGGGGCGGAGTTTAAGCGAGATTCATCGAGACTTCTACGTGTCAATCGTGTCAATCCCTGCATTGCTTATTGTTAACTCCACCTTTTTGCCCATATATGGAGATGGAGATGCTACTTGCGAGCGTGAACAGTTCAGTCTAGAAATAGAAATTTCTTAAGCGATGTCTTTCTTCAATTTTTCTACACGATATCTCGATAAATAGTGGAGATATTTGTACCATTCTTTTGTCAAAATGAGGGTATCGCTGGAATACATATTTCCAATCTGTTGGTCAATAGATTTATTCATTGATACTGGCAGGAATTAGATCGTAATAAACATGCTAAAATTGTAAAACTTGGAACGTTTGACAGTAATCTCCGAGTAATGTATGAATTGCATCGGGAGAAAGCAGGAGAAAAGCTGGGACAGTCTGTTGTGTGGAGTTTGCAAAGCAATCCCGGATATAAATGACGTCATCTTAGCAGTTTACATGGTTTCGAAAGTGATATATTTTTGTGTCGTAGTGAAGAGTTTGAATTATGTCGATTATTCGATTGTTATATATAAATAAACATCGATCTTCGGCAAAGATAAAGTAAGAACAACATATATATCCGAGAAACATGTTGGTAAGTACAGTATTTCATTTATAATGGCAGAAAATCAAATTGAATCGAAATCGAATTTTCAACTTTTTCAATTTTTTTTCGTTCGATTATTTTGATTTTCAATTTGATTTTTACATTCTATCTTCTTCGTCCTGCGGGACTATACTAGGCATAGGCCCGGAACATGTATAACATTGACTCAATGAGTCAAATTCACTTAAATTGAACATGCTGTAAGCTTTATTTCTTTACATTTTTACGGGCCTATGCCTGGGCTATGACTCTAGGCCTAGACTACTAGATCTAGCCTATAGGACTTAGACTAGCCTAAA